GCTCAACCATAAGTACACACTCAAAGTCTCAATGAGATGACAAGCCAACATGATCGGAGAGAGATTACGCGCAGTACCGACGGTTTTACGTATTTTACAAAGCATGAGGGTGGAAAAACACCAATTTTTCTGACCCCGGATTGTTGCCAAGAATTTCTTGACAAAAAAATTTACTGTTTCTTTGTTTAGCGTTTATGACCACATGACCAATGAGACAGTTATTAGAATTACTTCAGTTAGAAAATTTACTAAAGTTAGTAAGAATCTTAAAATATAAACATCAGTCTTCATTTATCGAGTGGTAGCAGAAATATAAAAAAACATTTGATTAAATTGATGGACGCACACATTGTGCACAGGTAACGTGAACGGATGTCAATGTTGGGTCGTACATGACAGTCGTGATGCAGTAAACATTCAAGGACTTTGACTTTGACACGACCAAACATTTTTCGGATACCGTATGGAACGGTAGTTTGTGTTTAATTTTTTTTAATTTTTTTATAGAATATGGGTGACGAACGAGCACACAGTGCATCTCATGGTAAGTGGATATTGTGGTCCTTGGATATCTACATCTATTCCCGACTAAAAATCAAACGGTAAATACACTTAATATATTATATAAATTACGTGTCACGTTTTTTGTCCGCGATGAACTCCTAAACTACTTATCCGATTTTAATAAAATTTACACGCCGTGTGCAATTTGGTCCAACTTGAGATATAGGATATTTTTTTTGCTCATGAGTGGCCCACAATTTTTTTTGCGAATTTAAGGATTTTTAATATGACAAGCGACAACGGTCTTTCGTTCTTTCTACTCACCATACAAAACATCGTGAGACTACGAGACCCTATGATATCAGTGAGAGAGTGGTTTTTCTCTGGGCAAGCAGACTCATTGTTGTTACAATCATAATGGCCGCACCGTGGCTTTACCCGGTCTGTAATTGAGATTTTCTTTCCCATCGGTTGTCGATTCTTTCTTCTGTATGACTAGCCCATTGCCACTTTAGCTTACCGATCCGTTGGGCTATGTCGCTTACTCTAATTCTTCTGCGGATACACTTATTTTTTTTCTAAGTTTAATACGCGGAGAAACCCCGAGCGACTTTGAGTTTCCTCATACGGCCAGCAGTGCAGGTCCATGTCTCAGGTCCATTAAATGTAGTGCACAGGCCACCTATTATTTAAATATTTTTAATAATAATTTTTATACAGTTTTACAGTGAAAAAGGTGATAAGGAAAAGGTGATAAGAGGGCTGATTTTTTTATAGCTTTAAGGCTAAATATAAGTAATAAGTACTCAGTGAAGAAACGCAGCCAGCTTTCTTTGCAATTTACCGCGGCGAGTAGAACTGTATGCTGTAACTGTATTATCATGATAAATACTGCATATTTCAATTTTGAAAAAGTTTCACAATCATATACACATGACATGAGTTGTGCCATGGACAGTATGTCTTAACATATCAACTGATCAATTGCTGATAATCTCCAGCGCCATTCTGCGTCGATTTAATTACGTGGTACGTCGAACACGTAATGTATGTTGTATTATTTTTAAAACCAGACAGGCAATAGACATTTATGGACAGATGAATTGTGCGATGAAATACAAACTTTGCTTTCAAATCAATAGACAATATAGTGCAGTGTCTACATCGAAAAGTAAATCTAAAAACTTATATAACATTTTATTAGGGTTTTTTTTAAAATAATAAACTGTAAAAAAATCTGAATGTTCTTGTCACGCGTTTACCATGGGTCATCATGGGTAAAGCACGCGATATGTTAAAAATCAATATAACTAAAACTGAACGCATTGTATTAAGAACTGCATAATAATATCCCTATAGATGCCGTCTGAAAGTTATTCGTACGAAAATCAAAGTTACACTTTTATCTAAATATATAAATAAAATAAAATTCTCTGTTTGTAATATTGAAATAAAATTTGTAATATTATTTTATACGTGGTAGAGCCATGCTGCAGTTATATTAGAAGTTTAGTTGTGGCACGAATGGGTCGGCTCGAACGGGGAAGGACCTCGCTCTCACAGAATACCAGCGTGAAATAGTAGCTTAATGATGCTGTATTTCGTATGGTGAGTTTAGAGAACCGGAGACCCTTTTTACTGGAAACGAGGCATTCGATCTTAGTCCTCACGGGTGACAACGCATCTGCATTTTAATTCGTAATCGAGGGTAGATGTAGATGTCTATGGGCCACAGCAACCACTTACCATCAAGTGAAATGTGTGCTCGTTTGTCACCCTATCCTATAAAAAAAAACTAGTTTCGATTAGGCTCAGGAACTTATTTGAATTCTATCAAGACATAAAAAAATCGTAATAATTTTTTTTTCTGTCCGTCGGAATGGCTCAAGCGATTGTGACGAAAGTTTCGGAACAGATAAAGAGCAAAGTCAGCAAGCATCTAGACTAGGTAGAGTATTTTATCCAAAGAACTTAAAGTTTTTTTTTAAGCGAAAAATTGATATAAGTAATAAATAATCTTTAACCATGTTAAATTATTATAACAGTAGTCAGTTACTATGAGGAGGATTGTAGATAAGTTTGGCTGTCATTTAAATTTCATATTTTTTTATATATATAATTCGGCCGGGTGTCACTTGATTCTTGGAATAAATAAAGTCGAATTCCAAGACAGTTGCGAATAATTTTTAAGCCTAAGAGCTCGTGCTAAGTAGAAAGGGATGGCCTCTTGCATATTGCATTTTATTTTGAGAGTTAATAAATATTTACATTTGTCATGGATTCCACTATAAACTGAGCAGGTCGCTTGCTCCGCCAAAACTAGCATCAACGGCAAACGCTGGACTCTACTCGAGAATGCGCGAGGCGCCTAGCGTCGAAGAATGCACGGCGCGGCGTAGCGTGGGAACTTGGACGCATACGCCGCACTCTCTTTTACTCATAGCGCTTACTCTGTACTCGGAGGTGACATGCATTTTTACGATTTGATTTGTCCATGTGTGTTAATTTATATAGATTGAGTACGTTGAAATTGAAAGGACTTATTTGAAACAAAATAAAAGGCAATGGAAATCGTTTTTTCATATTTTTGACTTTGTGAACGATGTGATTACCAAGGTATACGTATTTATTTTAAAATATACAAGATATAATGTAATTGATGGCTCCGTGTCGAAGTGTCTTAGCAATCAGTTGCGTCCCTCACAGCCACCACGGGTTCTAATCACACACGGAACAAGTATTTGTATGATTTACAAATGATTGTACTGGGTCTTGATGTTTAATTATCTGAAATCTGTTTGTGTTTTTTTAATATATAGAATAAGGGTGACAAACGAGCACACAGTCCACCTGATGGTAAGTGGATGCTGTGACCCGTAGACATCTACATTTATCCTCGATTCCACCGAGTCAGTAATTCATTGTTGGGGCGATGTATTCGCTTTTACAACAAAATCCCAGAAAATATACAAAATTTGTCATACACAAAGTTCAAAAATGTTATTAAAATATATGTTTGTATAAAAAGGGTTATTATAATATTAAGGAATTTTTTTTAATTTATTTAAGGCAACAAACAGTCATGTAAAATTGATAGTAACATGGATAAATAATAATATAACTAAAGACCTATAGTGCCTATAACTAAACTTTTACAATATTTTAAACTTATTGAGCCACTTTTAGGACTAAAGGACATTATAAATTTGTTTATTTATTAATACACTAATTTCTAAGATGAGGTAACTAGTTAACATTTCGTGTGCAATTAAGGAAAAGAGAGAAAGAAACCTATGTTAAAAATATGATTATTATAACACTGACAAATTTTAATTCAGATTCAATTAGCGAATTGAGTGCTGCAACATTTTCGGTGATGTGTAACTAGATTATTCAAAAGCCAAACTTTGAAAGAGAGCAGAGCTTTGATATTGATGTATTAAATAAATCAATAAAAATCTGTGAATTTTTTATTGTAAGTGTTAGTGGAACGATACACAAATGAGTTTCGTGTATAATTTTTATGATATCGGGAAGTTACGAAAAGTGGTTTTGGACGTAAGGGGCGCACAGGCAGACGGACTCGGGAAACAAGTGACAATCTGCTAAGTAACTACGAGGAGTCGACTAGGTTATTAATAATTTTGTATAGAAATACTATGTCAAACATTTTACGCCTATTGCAAAGAGAAAGTAAATTGTATTTTTTTAGTGAATCGGTGTATGACAGATTTAAAATATTTTGGCGATAATTTAGGGATTTAATAAACAGTTTTTGAACTCTTTCTATTCTCCTTATATGAACTTCATAACAAATTTATGGATGATAATAGCCCCTGGGAAGGGTGATCGCTACCAAGCTATTTCTAATTTGTCTTGTGTTGCTAATTGTAAACATGATTGTATGCTATTATTGGAAAAAAATAGTCCCGCTGGGTTTCTTGCTGGTTCTTCCTAGGACAGAGTAAATGTGTAAAATTGTGTCCCAGTGGTAAATGAAAAAAGTGACTTTCAATAAGTATTTTTATAATCTACATTGAATAAAAAAGTTTCTGTTTCTGTTTCTGATTAATAATCAAAGCTCGGATACGTTGTCATTCCTGAGGACTAAGCCTCGTTTCAAATAAAAAAGGTCTCCGGATCTCAACACTTACCATACAAAACACAGCAGTATTAAGCTGCTATCTTACGCTGGTATTCTGCGAGAACGCGATCCTACCCGGTCGAGCCGACCCATTCGTGCTGCAACCTTAATATAGCTGCAACGTGGTTCTACCACGTATGTAAACTGTCTCCACGATACAGGAGAAAATCCTAGTATAAAGACTTTAACAAAAAAATAATCGAAAAACTATTTTGCAAAATTAAAATATTTTTGGCTGAAAAGTCAAATCGGTACTCCTTTAAAAAATTTAATCCAGAGTCCGGCGATTGATCATCAACCAGTCATTACCAGTAATGTATACGGAACAGAACAGATTTGAGTTTAAACAGTTATGATAAATTATTGTGTAGAGGCAGCGCAAAGTAAGTGTAAGCGATGATATTTGAAGGCTGCATTAGGTTGGTTACCAAACCTGGCGGACTCCTGGCCAGGAAAGGGTTCCTACCAGCGAGTCATGAATGAAAGAATAATAAAAATACTACGAATAAGACACAAAACGTTTTAAGCTGCCCGAAAAAAACATTGAAATAACCCAGATCATGATGCCTATGTAAATGTGGATAGTTAAATGGGCATATCGTGTACGTACCTATCGCGGGCGTCACATTGGACCGTGCGTATGCGCATACCCAATGCGCATACTGATGACACGGGCGGACGTTACTCCGGGTCTACGTCACGGGTCGGTGTCTACTATTGCGTCTCTGTAGTGAGTACTGTCTTGGTGAGAAAAGTATGTCAGCAATCATATCCTGTCTTTGTTTTAACTTGCTAAGAAATTCCATTGCGTTCACATCTTGTACTCGTGCAATGTTCAAAGTCATTAATAAATTCTGTAACTTCGTTTAAGATACTCTTACCCATTTGTTAAAATAATTTTTCAAGTTTCAGTAACGATGCTTTTAACATGGAATTTCTTATTAAAATAAGCGTATGTTTGTGATAAAAATAATCCTTCATAAAAATAATAAGCTACCGGTGAAAGTATGAGTGATTTTGTATGGTAAATTAATAAGTATTTATTTTAGTCAACTAGCTATTGAAGGTGTATGAGTACGGGAAATGTTTTAGTGTTACTTAATAGCTACCTGATTGTACAGAAATTGCAGGAAGAGCTGTGCTAACGTCCTGACTTCATAACACAACTCTAGTTCACGTTATCACCCTAACCGTTACCGTTATAGCCTATTAAAGTCTACTCCTGAACATGAGCCTCCGCCATAGATTGTCTCATAGGAAGCATGTTTGCCATAGTCTTTTTTTCGTCGTTATTAGGAAGACTCCGCTGTTCATCTCCCGATTTGTTTCCCTCTGTCGCCTCTTACGACTCCCACGGGATCATATGGGGTGGTGGATATTCTTACACCACCACTACACGACCCTGTTACTCTAACAGCCTTTCGTTATTACAATAAAATTAGTTTTAATGTTTTAGTATGATGATATAAAACTTATATATGCGTTAATTACAAAAGCTTTTAACTTGACGCAATGAGGAAATCAACTAAGTATTTCTTTACATTCTCAAACTCAGTACCACTAAAATAATTGCACTGATAAATAATTTATAATTCTTTTATTTTTACAAGATAATATTTCCTTGAACGCAACTCAATTTTTATACTAGATTCTAAAGCTATGTAAACATGTAGTGCGAAAAACTAACACTAATAGTTGCAAATACTTCGTTACTAATGACTTACCAGCTATGGAGCGTTAACAAATTTCTTCGTCCCCTCGTTTGTTCAGCAACGAACTCTTAGACCCGCAAAGGTGCGCGAGAGCACACCGGGCCCGATGGAACTAAATCAGCGGTCCGCGGGATTAAAAGCTCGGAGGGCGGGGCGGAGCGGCGTCCGCGGCAGTCCAAACTTGAGCCCCGCGGCGAGCGCACGCGTGCGCTTACAAAGTGCGGTGTTGAGTGTGCAGTGCGTACAGTGCAGGCAGTGTGGTGGTGGTCAGCGGCATGCGCGAGGCGCGCGCTTTGCGGCGCCCCGCGCCTCGTTGACCCGATGCACCGAGCGCTCTACTCGCGGCCCGCGCCGCTGCTGCTCGCCCTCGCCCTCGCCTGCATGCTGCGCGTACGTCCACCTCATTTCACTTACCCCGGGATCCAAAGTTACCCCGCGACCATGTAGGACTTACAACAAAAGAATGCGCCAGTGTTACTTAATAAAAGGCGACTAATGGGGTGTCGGAGCTCGTGATTGTGTAGGGTAGCTACCTGTCTTACCTTTGATCTGATGCAATGAGCGTTCTACTCGCGGCCCGCATGGCTGCTGCTCGCCCTCGCCCTCGCTTGCATGCTGCTTGTACGTCCACTTCAAATTTCTTACCCCAGGATCCAAAATTGACCCATGCTGTTCTGGGACTTATAGGTCCCATGTTTGTGTTGGACTTATTACAAAAAATGTGCAAAATTTGTTACTTGACTATTAGGTTGGAGAAGACGACTAATGGAATATTGGGCTTGTGATTGCGTCGGTGATGGGGTAGCCGCCTATCATTAATTTCACAATTTTATATCTAAGCCCGTATTATCTTTTTAGCTAAACATGATCTAAGATCTAAGTAGCTCGCTGCTCTTCGGTGTCTGCTTACCCCCTTAGGGGTTACAGGTGTGACGTTATGTATGTTTATGATATTGGAATCTGAATTTAAAAAACTTGAAAAGTGGAAGTTTTTAAATCAATAATGGTTTAGATTTACCTGATTATTCATTTTGTGTGGGTGACTTGAACAAATATATGCAACAAAATAAAGTACACGGAATACTTTTACCATTTATAGGTACCTCTTATGAATGGATGAAAGTCTAAGGTCCGGCTATAGTATTATGATCAACTATTAATTAGAATATAATATGTAATAATAAACTAAGAGGACTCAAAAATCTGCTGATGATCAGAGATAAAGAATCAAAGGTAAAAATTAATATCACTTTTGAAAAATGTGCTCTTTTTAGTTTCTGTGTATTTTATGCGAATTTCTTCACAAGAGATAACTGTAGCATGTTGTGAAGTTTTTCAGTTTTTTGTACCTTCTTTGTGATATTAAATTGTTTTCCTTCAGATTAGAATTATCACTGCTATGTCTAATATTTGTGTTTTATAATCATTTTTATTCATCGTGTTTCTGGTTTTATTGTTATTAGAATCAAGAACTGTTTTATGTTTACCGGATTATCCATGTAGAGTATTCTGATATTCTAAAGCTTAAATGGCGTTCTTATTTAAGGAAATTCTTTTCTTTATTTTTAAGGTGCGAGTTTTCCAAGTATGCAATTTTATACTGTTGAAAATATGAATTGTCCTTAAAATTCTTTATAATTTCGTCAAAATACTATTTCAGTAATTTTATCGCAATAGTATTATCTTTTATTAACTTCAAGCTGAAAATTAACTATCTATTTTCTTGGTAAAAGATAGAAAAATATATCTCATCATTGATTTTAAGTAGATGGTTAAAATTTAGATGACATTCATATCTTTAGGTTGTTTAAGAAGAAATGGTACAATTTCATAACAAAATAAATTTACATGCACCAAATAATAATCGAATTACTTTGCCATACTATATTAAGGTAATAATGCTTTTGAATGTTTAAAAAAAATAAAACAAATTTATGTTTTCTTGACCTATAAATTGTAACATATGTTACAATTCTTAGATTAAATTCTTCTTACACATTAAACATTTACACATTAGACTAACTGAATAGTAGTCTATAGAAGTAGTAGTATAGAATGCTGTTAATGTTTCTAGTTTCCGGTTCATTGCCTTATGATAATATTACTTCATCATCCTGACTCTTTATACTTTTTTAATCACAAACTACTTCCGGGAAATCCAGTTTCGTTAATTTTAGTGTTAAAATATTCAAAAAACAAAAATATTTAAATTACATGGCTTTTTTAGAATTCCAATGATAGATTTTAAGTAATTTTTAATCCTCAACAAAATATTTTTAATGATTTCTTACATTTATGTAAATAGAACGAACACATGGGATAAAACTAAATTTTACGGAATTTATTAAATTAAGTTATTTTTTAAATCTTGTCTTACTATTGGAAATGCAATAATTAGCTTCTTTGAGAATATGAATAAAATTTAAAAGAATATTTATAACGTGTAGGTAAATTACAATGTATATTTTACAGACTTTTATGAAATAGAATAGAATACATAAATTGAATTGAATAATATAAATTGCATTTGAAAATATTTTAAGTTATTTCTTTAGATTTAGTGAATTTCTTATGGCTTCTAAGGCTCTCAAATAATCAAAGTAAAAATACATTAATTTAATCAATCATAAAATACGTAATATAACTAAAACAAATGCAAAATAACAGTCATTTTAGTTCTAATGAAAGTAATACTAAAAGAAATTTCTAGGGAAAGTGGTCCATATCTGATTGTTAAAGAAACTAATTAGGTACATAATATATGAAAACTTAAATTTAAGAGCTTGTCATCGTAACTGAACTTATTCCAATGGCATGGAAACGTACGTTATGTAAATGCCGCCTCATTGTTAGTCGAATGTAGATAGCATCACGTGTTGGCCGCGGCCGTGCCACTTGCCTCCTAGCATCCACGACAACCTCACATACTTGTTCAAGTCATTCATTGACCGTCTAAATCATTTATCTAACACCTAGTGCAAACAATTGCTTTACAAACATATTATCATAAAGCGCCATAAACTTCTATTAATTAGGGACTAACGAATCATCTTACGTACTTACCAAATATAGACTTAGAATTAACAATTAGGGAAGTCAACTTTTCCTTAGATACAGATTATCATCTAGTTCAGGAGAGAGCCTTTTTCCTTTGTATTTAGATATTTTTGTTGCTAATAAACGTTATTTTATCTGTTTCTTTATTTATCAATGACAAATTATCAACATAACCAAATAAGTTTATCAGATGCCCATTTAATTAAGAAGGGAAAATTTTTGTAATAGGTAACGTAAAACTTAGCAGACAGTTTAAAGATTTTGATATAGTTTACTATAAAATGAACGATATTCTTCTTTTACTCATAACAATATAAATGAAAGCCTAAAAGAAAACGGAAGAAATAGGCCTCTGTTCGACAGCGGACTGTAATGTGGTGTTCTAGCCCAAACGACATAATTAAATATTTAAGTAATAAGTTAAGCTTAGAATAAAAACCTAGTCTTATTAAAATCATATTAACACGTCTCCTTCTCATTTAACACTTTCCAACATTTCATCTTCTACCATGCTGGCTGGGTCGCCATTAGACGTTGGAAATGTATAAATGAGAAAAGACGTGTTGTTCAGTATTGTCATTTCAATAAGACTACTTCTTATTCTAAGCTTAACTCTAATATATAATTAGCTATATTGTATGTATTGTATGGGCTACAATACTACATTACAGGACTTTTATGGGCTGTATTGTTATTATAATAATAGTAATTGCTTATTTCGTTAACATTTCTATGTTCTCACAAACGGGAAAGATTTCAAAAGATGTATAATTTCATGAAAGTTTGGTAGTAGAATTAGTATCAATTCTGTTCATATGCAAAGTTTTCGAATGACGGAAAAGTAAGTGATGGCATATTAAACGATAATTTACCTTCTAATCATTATAATAGTTAGTGCCAACAAAATCTAAAAATCACAAATAATAAAAAAAACCATAATGATTTCTTATATCTAAACGAATACACGACGTTAACACTCAACATTAAAAGAAAATACTAAGTTAAATTAAATGCGATAAAATCTGAAGTTCTTTTGAACCTTAGTTTTACTCATAATCCGAAACTGTTAAAATTACCGCGTAGTGGTGGTGAAAGAATATCCACCACCCCATATCATCCCGTGGGAGTCGTAAGAGGCGACAGAGAGAAACAAATCGGGAGATGGGCAGCAGGGTTACTCTAATAACGACTAAAAATAAAAAATAAACTGCCGTTGTGAACTAAGCGTGGCAACTATGGCAAATATCCCCTCTCCGAGGCAATCAAAAAATATCTTTTCGAATTTAAATAAGCATTTAAATAAATGCAAGAAGTTTTAATACATTGTAACATTTTACGACGGCTTATTGATAGATTCGAGTACCTGTTAGTGGTTGACCTCACGGGATACAAAAAGCAAGAAATTTTATCTCTCAGTTAAGTATAAAATTTTTACTCCTCATCAAAATTTTATATGACAGCGGAACAAATTTCATATAAGAATAGAATAATTATCATAGATTTCATTTTGAATGGCATTCATGAATTATTTATACCATGAACATAAGCGTCAAGGTTCTGCACTATCTCCCGTGTTATTCCTTTTACATATTCAATGAATGAATGTTGTTTTAATTGATAATTCTTGACGATAAAAGACAATTTATTCGAATCTGTTGTAGTGAACTTTACACAAATAAATTCTGAATAACCAAGCTACCTACGGGGACCCACCGTTTATCGTGTAGAGCCCCCCGGCCTATGATTCAAGAGTATTTCAAGGAAGGAAAAGGGGAGATCTCCCGCCGGTCAAGGTATTCTGCTCGAGGAGCGGCCAACACTCGTTCGTTCGTTCGTTTGGAGTTGGGTATATACTGTTTTTGATTCGGAACTTTGATAGCGCGATTTAGGTTTCGATGTGTTTCGCTTGTGGCAAAAATGCCTACATCGATTATTTGGAATTATAAAAATCATAAAAAAATATTATTTATAATTCCAAATTATCGATCTAGGCGTAATACCGAAATCACTTCAGAATTGTTCTATATGTTTTATCATATAAATTGCAAGTGATGAAACAGAATCGTAAAGTGATTATACTCAAAGAAAATCACATTACTTCACTAGGAACGAGTTCTAGAACATAAAACATTTCAATCGCTCTTTAACTCAAAATAGAGATGTAAATGTGAAATACTATCCTCTTTGATGAGCGACAATTGTGACCAATGATGTTTGGACATAGAACCTCTGCCAACACTACGGTTTGTTTTAATGGTGTTCAAAGCACCGAATCAGAGTTTCCCTATAATACTGCTATAGAAATAGAGAAAAAGATCAGGTGAATTTTCAGA